CAAATGTGTGAACTGCTGTACCATTACATACATTTAGAATATGAGACAGCAGTCACCGCTCCTCTGAGACAAAATGAGCCATATTAATCACATATGAATCCACAGCCTGCGAGTTAATGTAACCCTTTGTGTTCTACGCTAACTTTCCTCGGCTTTACAGTTCACTCCTCTGTACGGCCTAGACAGGGCTGTGTCTGTGATAAAACACTGACAGTGTCACATATCTCATTCCAGTGGCTTCAGCATGTACCCTATTCTCTTAGCTCACCGTTAACTGTGAGGTAGGTTTCTCATTTCATTCCGGGCCAACTTTCGGGATGAATAAAGTTTTATTGAATTGAATCGAATCATGATAAGTAGGTCAAGTGTTAGTTTTTTTTTGACTGATCTGATTTAACATGAGGTATTTCAGGATAGCGGTGCATGAGACAACTCCTCACGTTTGTAACATTCTCAGAGTATTTCACTTGCATGCTGCACCTTTATCCCGGGCTTGTTACAAAAGGAAAAAACAAACAAACATATTTTTGATCTTAATGCAGATGGTGCTTTTCTCATTTCTTTCTCTGATGCCCATTTGTTTAATGAACGTTCCTCCTGCATGCTGACAATCATCATAGCTGACCTGGCTAGGGAAACCCCACAGCGCCCTCTGGTGGACTACAAAAGGAACTGATTTTACTATTCTGGTACTTAAAAGTTTAATTTGTATCTGCAATTTAAATACTAAACTGAAATTTGGTGCCCATGTATGGATACAATGTATCCACGGTAATGCTATACAAGCAGCAATATTCTGAAATACATGAAGTTTGGAAAATTGGGTCCAAACAAGAGTTTTCCCTTGTTAGCCCTGTTAATAGAACATCAGTGTAAACAAGGATTATGCTGACTATGTGTAAATAAAAAAACAATTTTAAAGAGTAGAGTAGATTACATCAACACATTTTATATCAGAGCAAACATGAGCTACATACTGGAACAAAAAAGAAAAAAACTCACAGATCCAACAAATCACAATAATGGCTAATAGTGTTCAGCAAACTGTGACGATGAGCCCAGCAAGCAGAATAAAACGACGCTGGAACAGGCAGACATAAATGGAAGGCAACCATTATTAAACGTATTAACTACAGCAGTTCAAGGCCAAGTATCTGCTGTTGGCCAGCACCACACTCTAGTGTAACACTTTCAGAACATGATGTTTTCACTGCGACCAATAAAAAAATAAAAGGGAACAACTCATGGGCACAAAATGAAGCCTTTGTCTGCAGAAGGCTGCTGCCGCTTATAAAACCTGAGCTCTGTGAAAGATGCATCGAAGGAGTTTTATGGAATATCATTTAAAAAGAAGAAGAAAGAGAGGTAGGAGGATTCTTAGGTCCTACCTTGAGGTTCTCCTCTTTGAACAGAAGTGGTGCAGTGAGCTTGCGTCCCTCCTTAGGGAAGTAGACCTGGATAAGTCGGTCTCTCTCTTCCCAAGTGGCCTTCCTAAGGATTCCATTAGGTTCCCGTACAACTATAAATCTCTCCTGTTGAAAAGACATACAGAATATATATATATGGTATATTTTAGTAACATTCTTGAATCCAAAGCTATATCAAATTGGTGAGTTTTAGGCAATTAGGGGTAGGGCTGGGCCATATCATACCGTTCACGGTAATACCGGTATAATGTTGGGCAACGATAAGAAAATGAA